CTATTGACATCACAGAGAGGGGCTTACGAAACATTCCAACGACCAGTTTCCAGGGGGCACATTCTTCGCCACGGGGTACCGTTTTCGCCCCGAGCCTCGTAATTGCTCGATGAGCGTCTTCCCGTTTGGGCGGTGTGCGCAAAGTGAAAGCCACGTGTCTCAGACAAGAGCGACTGCACGCTCCCGAGCAGTCTGTACTAGAAGGACGCGGTGTTAGATATGGGAATGAGCGTTCTCTCTCCAAGGGGGTTTAGCGTTTTCAGAAGACCGTGGGATCGTTCACAGTCGGCACGGGCTGAGGCCGACAGTTTCCCAGTAACATGGCCCGTCAGGTACAGCCCGTGCGGAAGCCCGGCACCGCTCAGGTAACTGGAAAGCGTGCAGCAGCGGGGCGGAAACAAAAAGAACACCGTTCCTGGTCGCGGGACAGGTCTGCCGCTGCACACAGGCCCTGCTGTTGATAGAAAGCCGCCGGAAGCTGCCTGAGGTCCCTTCAGGGCCCCTTGCCAGAGCCGGTGATGCAAAAGGTGGAGCCGTAACAAAACCCCTCATTCTTTTGGGTTGTAATGTGTGGTGTTAACATGGAGTATCTTCAGCGGCCCGGCAGCCCTTTTCTTCCAAGCCGTGGGTTGAAGGAGCCATTTGGTGTTGCGTTTGCCGGTGCGGTTCTCTTGACGTCTTAAATCCAACAACAGATACGGAAACCAGGGTAGTAGAAGGTGGAGGTTCGTAGATGCTCTGAAATGCCTTCTCACCCGTACTGCTGTCATCGCCTGAAGCTGCACCTTCTCCTTTTTCCCTGTAACCCTTTCTTTCAAAAGTAGACCCTGGAGGGCACCGGTTTACTTCGGGACCACATCTGACTGGCTGTGGGGGTGGCCTTCGGCTGTGACACAGTGTGAATTTGGAGGCCTTGACTCTGAGCGTATTGCTAGCCCAGTGATGAAGAGGCTGAGAGCCGGTGTGAGCGGCCCTGGTGTGAACTTCACCGTGCCTCTTACTGGCTGCGTGACCCTGAGCAAGTCACTTAACCTCCCCGAGGCTGCTTCAAGCTGTTGGAACGTGGAGACTGTGGTCTGGGTACTGGATTTTTTTTTTTTTTTTTTACACTGTGCCTCAGTCCATTTGGGCTGCTAAAGCAAAATACCACAGACTGGGTGGCTTATAAACAATAGAAATTTATTTCTTAAAGTTCCAGAGCCCGGAAGTCCCAGATCAAGGTGCCAGCCTGGTCGGCCTCTGTGTAGCCACCATCTTGCTGTGGCATCGCAGGACGGAAGGGGCAGGGAACTCTGTGGGGGTCTCCTTTATTAGAGCACTGATCCCACCGATCCCAGTCACGGGGGCTTCTCCCTCACGACCTCATCGCCTCCCAAAGGCCCCACCTCTTAACACCATCCCCCTGGGGGTCAGGATCCCAGCATGTGAAGGGGGATGCGTAAACATTCAGATCATAGCACCGGGCGTCCTAACTTAAGTTTTTACCTTTTGTTGACAGTTACCGCTTTTCTGTCCTTTTATTTGAGATGTATCCGCACTCTCTTGGGCTCTTGGTTAAAATCAAAAAAAGACAAAGACAGTTCCTTGGCAGTCACAGATGTTACGATCTCCTTTATGAAATGGAGTGTTTTGGTATTTTAGAAAATACCAAATCACTGACCACATCCTCTGAATTTGACCAAAGTTCTAGAGGGAATTGGAGCAAAGAGAGAAAACTCCCAAAGAAATGAATGTTGCAGATGGGAAGGAAGGGGTTTCCTACCCTTTGAAGTTTTTATTAGATGAAATTTATCATCGTTGAAAAATGGAAGTGGTTGGGATTCTGTGAAGCCTTGCCTGCCCTTAGAAAAGCATATGGGCCCGACCTTGGCCGCCCTGAGCAGGAGTATGCCTGTGGGATCAAGGGGGCAGCATTGTACTTGGCGATCCGGCACAGGCTTGAGAATTGGGAGACGCGGGTTCGAAACACTGCGGCTCTGCCGGATCTTAGCTTGTCATCTGGGGCCGCGGAGGTCATCTCTCTGAGCCTCAGGTTTTTCATTATAAAATCTGAGAGGGTTATGCTTCCCTCATAAAGCTGCTGAGGGGACTCAACGAGGTGACAGACGCCAAGCGTGCAGCAAGACCCTGGTGCCTGGTAGGTGCTTGGCACGTTCAACTGTTGTAATGTACTAGTTATATAATTATATAGTGTAATCAAATAATATATACCGTATAGAGTGTTTACCTAAGGTTATATTTGCATAATACATAATGACCCTTTTCGATGATTGTATGTCCTGTTCTATACCATTAATATTGACATACGGTTGTGAAATATGATGCACAATATAATAATGGTATATAACTGTTTTTAAATAACAGTTATATATTCTCTCTGAAATACCGGGACCTCAAGATCATGTTCCCTAATAGCTTTCGCACTTTTTTAACAGCGGAATCTTTTTACTTTCCCTTTCCTGCACATGACATCTTCTATGGAACCAACCAGAATGTCTGAGACGGAGCAAAGGGGAGGTGCTCGCTGAAGCAGGGGTGAGGGTCCTCGAGCCCTAGACGGGCCCTCCCTGTAGCCGCTGCTGCTCCCCGCGCCGGACACCCTTGGCACAGAGCGGAGACAGCTGTTCTAGGCCAATCTGCATCCTCTTCGAGGTCCCAGAGCCACTTGGGTATAGCCAAGGCCAGAGCGCAGGTCCGTGGCCTTGAAGTTGAACTTCCGTTCTCCCAGGTGCTGTGCAGCGTCCGCCGGCGGCATGAATTACGGGGCTGCCGATCCCTCTTCCTGAGGGAATTGCGGCCTGTTTTCCTGTGTGTGGCAGCCGTTCCCGTCCTGGGGCCTGGTGCCTTGACGGGCTGCTGGCTCAGCCCCTGGGTTTACTGATGTGATGGCCACGCGCAGGCGTTCTTGCTACCGAAAGCCGTAAGGAAGTCACAACACTTACGTATAAAGCTGGAGCTGACATGCGTAGGGTCTCACGTCACAGCCTTAGCGCCGGGAGCGTGTGTCTGTACTTCTGTGGCTGTTTGATTAGCTTTGATTTTCAAGCACTTGAAAACCTTGTGCTCGGTGCAGTGGAGTTCATTTCTCCACGGGGGTGTCGGCGTCAGGCGAGGATCTATTTGCTGCGTTTTTCGTTCTGGAGCAGTAGACCTGGTTAGCAGAGGCGCTGGGCATTGACTGTCACAGGGAAGTCAGACTTGCCCGGCCTTGGTGTTTTGTCTGAGAACGATGGAACCCTTCTACCGACTTCATGAGCCTCTGCGGGTTGTTGGCTGTGACATTAAATGAGATGTATGGGAAAGCCTTTTATCAGAGGATGGGTGCCAGGAGACCCTGTTACGTAAACGAGTCTAGCTTTTCCCTGCAAGAAAAACCGGGCCACTTCTTCGGCGGATGTGGCGCTGTGAGATGGACGGCCTCTTACTTCCGCCCTCCATTGGAGACCCTTGGTTCTCTGGAGAACAGCTGAAATGGGAAAACGCGTGGCCAGGCCCTGCTGGGATGGAAGCGTGTCACCCCTGGATGGGTGGGGGCCCGTGGCGTTGACTCCGTGAAAGAGAACTCAGGGCCAGGTTTTGTAAATACGTGATTTGCAGCTGATGCAGTGCCGGCAGTGGCCGTGGAGCCCTGAAGCCCGGTTCCAAAGGGAGGGAATGGTTTCCTGCCTTGGTGTATTTGTCCTTCTCTTATTCCAAGGGTCGTGAGAGCTCAGATCAACTCCGGGCCTAAAGAACCAGAGTTGGTGAATTATTTACTTTTTCTCCCATGAATACACTGATTCAGTGTTATCCTGACGATAATAATGATCACCGCTAACATTACACGCCTGGCCTTTCCTCATTAAGTGGGGGAAACGTGAACCCGAGGTTTACAGAGGCCAAGCCGCTTGCCCAGGGTCCCGCTGTAGTGCTGCAGCGTCACTGGTCCTCACCAGTGTGCCAGGATGCTTTCGTGAGCGGAAAACCGGCGAGTTTGGGCTGGCCGTTAAGGATCCAGATTTTCCGGTAACGTGGGGAAGAACGGTGTCGAACCGGAACCTGCGTAATGGTGGGTCTGGAATCTGAAAGGCGTGCTAACTACTTTCAAGCGGCGGAGTTCGTGCCCCTTTCTGGATCAGAGTATTCCAACTGCTTTAGCCCCGCGGGTTTCCAAGCCTCAAGACTTAGGTAAGGGAGGGAGACAAAGGACGTGCTGTGTGCGGGAGGCGGCCTGCTTTGTGGAGGCCAGAGCCAGGCCGAGTCTCTCGGTCAGCACTCTGTTTCCACCACCTGGAAGCAGGCCTTGTGTGCCTGGGGGCGGCCTGGCTGGAAGGAAGGAAGGGAAGGATGGAAGGAGGGAGGGAGGGAGGGAGGGAGGGAGTTTGGATGGATGGATGGAAGGAAGGATGGATGAACGGATGTTTGGATTGAAAGAAAGAACTGAGGAGGTGAGTAGTAAGGAGAAAGAGAGAGAGAGAGAGGGAGATCAGAACGAGAATGAGATGGAAGAAGGTAGCGGAGACAGAGTTTCCAATTTTATAGAAGGCATCGCTATTAAAAGTTCACAACATTTTGCTGTTTCCCATATGCTCTCCTTGGACACAGATGTCATTCGTATGTTTATTTAATAGACAGTTTTGACCGCTAACCCAGATGCCGGGGATAAACAAGTAAGACATGATCCCCCTCTCAGAGAGGAGTTTACCATCTCAGGATATTACTTAAGCCAGTGTTTGTTGCCTGATCATTAGTAGAGGTCATGGGAATCCTGATTCGAAGGTCCTCACCTGCATTGGATGTTCCTGGAGCAAAGGAAACCGTCCACCGGCGAAGGCTCATCTCTGCGTATTTACCACAAGCAAGAAAGGTTTTATGGGATCTTTATTTCTCTTTGCCACAACGCTTTTAACCGTTTCCCACCTTTCTGTAAAGCTTTTGAGTTATGTTGTTGTTGTTGTTGTTGTTGTTGTTGTTATTGTGTAATGGAATGTTATAATCTCTTATTTTTATTTTTTAACCAGGATTGATCGTAAGATGTCAAGCACTCACACCAACTACAAGCTGGATGAGGCACAGGCCATAATGAGTGAGCTCCGGACCATCAAGAAAGCCATTTGCACAGGCGAGAAGGAGAGGCGGGACCTGATGCAGGTAAGGGCCTGGCACTCTTCAGATCCCATGTCCATTCGTCTGCCTGCCTACGTGTCTGTCTTTTATTTAAAATTTTAGGAAAATATGTACTTACCATATATATTATGTTATATATGTATTATATATGCAATCCATATATTTTTAAACACACGCATATATATCATACATATATGTGTATATTTGTTCTTTATGTGTGTATATTTATGTATACTGTATATTAAAACGTTTTCAAATACGGGTACTAGTTATTCCTAGGGCCGCCATGACAAAGGAGCACACACTGGCATAGAACAACAGAAATTTATTCTCCCAGGGTCTGGCGGCCAGAAGGCCAGAGTCAAGGTGCCGACGGGGCCCTGCCATCTCTGAGGCGGTAGGGGAGGATCCTTCCTCACCTCTTCCAGCTTCTGGCATTCCTTGGTATCCCTCAGCTTGTAGCTGCATTGCTCCAGCCTCTGCCTTCCTCGTCACATGGTGCCCTCCCTGTGTCCCCGCATCTAAATGGTCTCCTCTTATAAGAGTGCCAATCATTGGATTAGAACCCACTCTAATTCTGTATCACCTCACCTTAACTTGATTCCGTCCGCAAGGACTCCATTTCCAAAGCAGCCCGCGTTCCCAGATTCTTAGGACTTGAACGTAACTTTCCGGAGGACACGACTTAAGCCACAAAAATGGGTGATGCCTATTGTTCAATAATCAAAAAATTTAAAAAGTCTATGATGACAGGTCTTGCTGTTGCCTCATTCGCTTGTCTCCTGTAACTACTTTTATTAGCTTCCCGTATACCTGGCTAGTGTTTATGCAGCCGCGGGAGAGTGTGAACGCGTGTTCAGCCATCCTCACGGGGAGCTAGGACTATGCCTGCTGCTCCCCTGCCCCGGCTTCCTCACCTAACGATAACACCCCGTCTCTTTTTCTGCATCTGTCCACCACGCGCCGCTTCATTCCCTGACGTGGCCGCGAAGTACCCTACTGCGTGCGTACATTTCGGTTCCATGGCTGCCATCAGTGGAGCATTTTTTGTTCCTCGCGCTTCTGTATATTTTGTTATTTTTAGAAAAAGCTTGAGTGTTTGCAAATGGGTGCGCGCTGGTCTTTTTGCTTGATGCTCGGGTGCTTTCAGATGTTTCTGTTACGGCTTTCATTTCGTGTTCCACACACGGAGTACCTAGTAGGCACCGGTCTAGATTCCGCAGAATGTAGGGCATACAAGGGCACGTGAAGCAGCGCTCAGACTCGTAGGCCAAATGAGACAGGTGCACAGATAGCTGCCTTCCATGGCAGTGCTTCCTGAGGTCAAGGATCCAACAGACTTGTCCCCACAGTGGTCACTGAGTTGCCCATTCCCGGGCCCTGCCCCGGGCCTACTAGATAAGGCTCTGGAGGTGTGGCCCACACATCTGTATTTTCACACGCCCTCTCCAGGTCATGAAAGTAAACGATCGATGGTTAGATTGTCTCCGAGCACTGGTAGCAAGAACAGCTACTGCCATTTACTGAGGCCTCTGAGTGCGGTGTCGGACAAGGTGCTGTATGGATGTCACCCATCATAACGTGAGCCTAAACCCCAGGGGTGAACCAAGCGGCATTTCACCACGGGGGCTTGGAGGCTCTGCCCCTGGAGGTTGTGCTAACTGCTCCGCACTGGCCGATCCAGGCGTGCAGGGCGGGGGCGACCGCCCAGTTGCCTCGAGTGGGTTCCCCAGTGTGGGGGCTGGAGATAGAATTTCTAGAAGAAGCTTCAGACCCCAGCATCTTCTCTGAGACGCTCCTGGGAGAGGCATGGGGAACGTCCTCTCTAGTAAAATCAAAGAAGTTGTTTTGTCTTTCTTTTATGAGCTTAATGGTACCGGCCCATTCCAAGATGCCTTTGTCTAGAGCCAGAACCAGCTACGTGTGTTATACCGCTCCTGCGCGTCCTGGTGTCCGCAGCAATGTCTGCTGAAGATAAAAACGTTCAAAAGTCTTCTAAAAACTTGTAGAAAATCTCATTGCTCTTTGACTTGCACCCAAAGGGGTTACGTGTGCCAGAAGACATACTCTGGTTTTTGGCCAACTGACATCACGTGAGAGGACTCTTGGTCATGTACAGTCACCTGAAAAACCAGGTTGTGAAAATACGTAAACATCATCTGGGAGTGGTTTTGCTTCTGTGTGGTTTATCAAAATCTCGAGGTGGCATTCATCTCAGACTCATTTATTGATAGAACGTTTTGGATGGCAGTGCTCCCCCCTTTTATTGAGGTACAGATGACAGAATTATATAAACTTAAGGTATACAACCTAATGATTTGATATACATATATAATCTGGAATGATTACCACGATAAAGTTAGTTAACACATCCACCGTCTCACACAGGTACCGTGCGTGTGTGCGTGTGTGCGTGTGTGCGTGTGTGTGTTGAAACACGCTGCGTTTCCTAAAGAAGAAAAACAGTAACAGTGGTACCCCGGCAGTTGTCTACGTTAGCCACATGCTGGCAGGGGGACTCGGTCACAGGGGGACGTAAATGACGAAGAATTGTATTAAAGGTGCACGTGGCGGTAAACTTGGCTTCTCCACCTGGTGGGGGAGGGGTGGGGTGGGCCGGCGCCAGGGGCGGCCCTCAGCGGGAAGGGAAGCGTCACCACCTCTGTTCAGGCGGCTCGTTTCCTTCTCTTCCAGAGCCTGGCCAAGCTGACCGACGGCTTCAGGAATAGCTTTTCTCTCACCGACCCTCTGCCGGAGCTCCCTCACAATCCAGGTGTGCTTGGCGATTCTTTACCTCACCAGTTCTGCGACGCTGGGTCTCAGACCGACATCGTTGGAGAGGTATGCCAGGAACTGGGGGGGGGGGCGGGGCTGGGGTTGAGGGGAGGGCCGAATGTGCCCGGAGAGGAAAGAGCCGCCTTCGCGGTGCCGTCACTCGTCACTCGTCACTCGTTTGTTTTCCTCTGCCACTTTCTCTTCAGAGATGGTTTGGCTTCTGTGCCATTGTGTTGGAGGAAAAAAAATCCAGCTTGAAGGTCCCGGGGCCTGGAAGGCAATCGAATGGCTTATTACCCCTCTCCTTGTGATTCGGATTCTTTAAACTGGCAGAATCCTTTTGAGAATTGAATTTAGGTGTGTTTTTAACAGACATACGATATCTTATGGCAGGGGTCAGCTAACTTTTTCTGTAAAGGCCCAGATAGTAAATATTAATTTTTTTTTTAATGTTTATTTACTTTTGAGAGAGAGAGAAAGAGCGTGAGCAGGGGAGGAGCAGACAGAGAGGGAGACACAGAACCTGAAGCAGGCTCTAGGCTCCAAGCTGTCAGCACAGAGCCCGATGCAGGGCTCGAACTCGGGAACAAGATCGTGACCTGAGCCGAAGTCGGACGCTTAACCGACTGAGCCACCCAGGCACCCCTAGATAGTAAATATTTTAGACCTTTGCCATAACTATCCAGCTGTGTTGTTAGAATGCAAAAGCAGCCATAGGCAGTGTGCGAACAAACGGGCAGGGCTGTGTTCCAATAAAGCTTTATTTTTAAAAACAGGATTGGGTTTGGCCTGTGGGGGCCATAGTTTACCGATCGTTGGCTTAGCCCAGTGATTTTCCGAGGCTTTGTGGCTGTGGCACCCTTGGGTTATACTTTGATGCTATTTCTTATTCTTCTAAAAGAATGTCAGGAAATTGAATTGAATCAAAATTAATTTTGCTTGGGACTTGGAAGAATTTCATAAGGCCCCTTTTGGCAATTAGTGAAGCCTTGAGTTAGCCACAAAAACAAAGTTGGCAGTCGTCATCTGAAGCAGGGTGGTGAATGCTTAAAGACACTCCTGTTGTAATGTTATTGAGTGAAGTTTATTACAAATGGAAAACAAATTGAAAAAAAAAGATGGCTTCTTTTTCTTAGAGCTTATTAAGTAAAGACGAGACATCAATGGAATGTGGAATGCCCTCCCCAAAATTACATCAAGAAAAGGAAACAGGGGGAAAAGACCCTTGACAAAAACTCTGGGTTTTAAATAATTAACTAATATTTTGAAGTTTAGGCAAATAGTATCTCTTTGAGAGTACTATGGTAAATAATGACTCTTTTTGTCCTGGACGTCCCAGAACAGCCCTATTTTCAATTTTCCCCTCCCTGTTTTCAAAAGTCCGCGTAGACGTTTTTGACCAGGCAATTTTGGTTTTAAAGGATAGGGTCACCATCTATGTAAAGACACAGAGAAAAGAATCTGTAAGTCAGAAATGCCTGCTATTTTTGCCTAAAGGGTTTGGTGTGCAGGAAAGAAAGAAGTATAAGACTCATTGAATTCCATGAATAATTGCCCTTATCATAGGTTAGGATTAGAATTTAGAGATTCGACTAGTTTGGAAGAAACAAAGGTTCTCTAATGCTTAGGTAAGACTTTCTAAAAATATCAGGTGGGGAGTGGCTGGTCATGCCGTTGCAGTAACTCAAGGAGTAAATTGTTATCGTTTGTGAGTTTACTGGGGCTGGCCCTGGACTGACCGCTTCATGGCTGTTACCTTATTAGTTGTTTCCATATACTTTTGATAGACGAGGGGATCAGGTGCCGAGTCAGCTAAGGTCATGTAGCCAGGGCTGGCTGGGTTTGAATCAACGTTTCTGATGTCTAAACCCCTGTTTATATCATGTCGTTATAAAAAAGGATATTGAAAGGCCGTAATTGGATTAGTGGGCTATTACTGCCTAACAGATTACTCCAAAATGTAGCATCTTAAAACATCACACTTCGATTATCTCAGACTTCTGCTGTGGGTCAGGAGTCTGGGTGGGCCATCTGCTTCAGCGGCTCTCACGAAACTGCAATCAAGGCATCAGCCAGGGCTGCAGTCTCATCCAAGGACTTGACTGGGGAAGAGGCCACTTTGAAGCTCACGTGATTGTTGACAGGATTCACTTCCCCACGGGTCGTGGGACAGAGGGTTTTGCTTCTTTGCCGTATGGACCTCTCTGGCACCATAGCTTGCTTCATCAAAGTGTGCAAGCTGAGAGAGTCTGCCAGCAAGATGGAAGTCACTGTCTTCTGTAACCTGGTCACAGAAATGGCTTCTTATCATCTCTGTTGTATTCTATTGGTAATCATGGCTCTAGAGCACTCTCAAGGGGCTCACACATGGGGCAAATCCCAAGAGGTGGAGTCTACTGGGCACCATCTTAGACGTCTGCGTACTTGGCTTAGTTATCACTTTGGGTCATCAGTTTTGTGGGATGGGTGTGGACATAATTGGCTATGCTTTTTGACCCCAGGACTTTGCAAACACAGATGTATACACGCTGCAGGCCTAATGCTGGGATTCGATGGTTGGGGTACATGCTACGTAGGAACTGTGAAGCAGGAACCTGCTGAATCCATTGGGCCGTAGGTTTTTCCTTTTTTGACCAAGATGTCCATTTTGTTCTCAAAGAAGAGTGCAAAAACAGAGCTCAGAGATCTACAGGAGCATCAAGAACAGGTTGAAGAAATATCTGTTGGTCTTGATGATGGGTCAGCTGCAGGAGTCTCCGACAAACAAGGTGGTGAGGTGACATGTAGCTCGTTTCCAGCGTAGATGGCTCCTGGAGATGTGACGTCAAAGCATAGGAGTGTGTGTGTGTGTGTGTGTGTGTGTGTGTGTGTGTGTGTGTGTTGAGGAAACCGTGGGGAGGCTGTAAAATGTGTAAAATTATGACACATCTCATTGGAGAATGCTCAGCCCCTCGTAAGGCATTTCTTCCATCTCGCCATTCAAGACGATGAAGATAAAGACATTCCTATTGATGTATATCAACACTGGTATCAATAAATTCATCACTGATCATTCAGATAGAATATTTTCAAATATTTGCTGACATGACGTTATTTAAAAAAATGACTTGGAGGCCATGGTCTAGTTAAGGTCAGATCTACAGAGAGGATCGATTTAATGATGGTGTCATAGATTTCCAGGAATGAAAGAAGTGACCAAGGTGAGCTACGATTACCTCCCATACGGGTCTTTTTTTGTTTTGTTTTAGGAATTTGTTTTGTTCGGTGTAATTGGTAAGAAAATAAGAACAACTAATGATCATGTCAGGGCACCACATTTCAATTCTAACTCCTAAGGTGATGTGCCCAGATCCAGGCTTTTCCAGACCTTGCTTTATTTCCTTTTGACCTTGAGCTCTTTAACATGCCATGTGACACTAGAAGGAGTCCTGTAGCCCATGCCTAACACAGCTAAGCCTGTCGTCTTCCGATCGTGTGACTTCTCAGGAGAACATCGTTATTCTGCATTTATTGAAGAATGACAAAATGTACTGTACCAAGTGGGACGGACGTTTATGCCTTTGTGTCAACTTTTACTAAGGAATTCCCTATTTTGTTTTTTAAACTTAATTTGTTGTTAGGAATTATACAATAGATGAATACACTTCCACTGGTAAAAAATACAAACAGACCCACCAGTGTTTGAAAAGCAGAGCTTCCCAGCCCCACGCCCAGCTTCTAGCAACCAGAGGTGACAGCTAAGTATTATTTGGTGTGTTTCCTTCCAGACCCTTGAAAAGGGGACATTTGTTTTCTTTTTTGAGAGAGAGAGAGAGAGCGCGCGATCAAGCACGAGTGGGGGAGGGGCAGAGAGAGAGAGAGAGAGAGAGAGAGAGACACAGAATCTGAAGCAGCGTCCAGGCTCCGAGATGTCAGCACAGAGCCCGACGTGGGGCTCAAACTCACAAACTGTGAGATCATGACCTGAGCTGAAGTCTGACCCTTGACCGACTGAGTCCCCCCGGGCGTCCCGAAAAGTGGAAATTTAAAGACAAAATAAGATCTTCTTCACTGTTGCTAAAAGTTGAAATGAATTTTCTATTTTGAAAATATGTTTTAATATGTTTCCCTCCCCCCCCCCTTTTTTTTTCCTTCTGTTCCGGAAAGTTTGTCTTTGATGATAAGACAAGACTTGTAGACCGAGTCAGGCTTAATTGGCAGTATGAGGAAGCCAGAAAGAGGTAAGCTCCTTTTTCCAATCTTGCCTTCTGCTTCCTTCCTTTCTCTCATGGAAAGAGGTTTTGTGGAACTCCAGTGTGGGATCGTCCACTTTTTCTCAGAAAGCAGTGTCTGGTGGAATATAAAATCAAAGATCTTCCTTTCTGTGGAAGCTTCCCAATACCCACAGCAGAATTTCCTATGCATTCAAAATGTGAAACGGTCACTCTTGTGAACAGTTATAAAGCCATGATTTAATAAAGACAGAGACACCTGGCTCCCGCCCTCCCTGCCTTCCCACCAAGGCTTCAACACAATCGCCTTGTCTTCTATATGTGCCCTTTCCGACTCTGTAGGTTAATGGAGAAAGCCACGCATCTTGGTTTAAAAGACGGGTTAATAAGGACTAGGTCAGCACGTGCTGGCGGCCCCCGGTCTGTTTGGATTTCGATAGAACTGAAGCGTAGCCACTTTTGTTGACCTTTGCTGTAAATCATCTGCCCTCTGAAAATTGAGACTCGACCCTGTCTGTACATTTTCAAAATTCATCTTTCTGTCCCCCTGTCCCAGTCCTAACCGTAGCCAGGGGCAGGATTGAGAGGCAGTGTGCAGTCCTCACAGGCAGGCAGGGTTTTTAGCACGTCATACCCCTCCCCATGTCCCCAGGACCCCGTTTTCTATATTCTGACCCTGCCGTGGCTTTTGTGTCCTCTTTTCAGACACTTTCTCTCTTTTGTGTCTTTTGAAAAGAGCCTTAAAACCAAATCATTTCCAGATCTGTGCTTTGGAAAGCTACAAAGCATATCGTTTTGAAAAAAGTTTCTTGAGTCACATGCGAACTGTTTTCTTGGAGGGTTGGGGGAGAAGCAGCGGAATGCCCAGTGGGGTGAGGGAGTCCTTTCTGGAAGCGAAATAGTTGGGTCTGCTCGATCGACTGTATCATTCCTGATGTCTGGTAATCCACTTGGTTGCCTTTGTAGAAAATGTAAAAATAGCAACCAAAGCGGATCAGGTGACTCCCCTGCTAGAGGGCCTGACACGGGCCTTCTGTTTGCTCGGAGCTCTGACACCCGGCTCTTCCTGGCTTCCCCCCTCGCATGTGCAGTGGGCTTTATGTTTCCACACGGACTGCCGCCAGATCCGTTCAGCCTTGCTGCTGGGCTCCGTGGCCGTATTGTCCATCTACCGCGCGTTCCTGCTCTTGAGCTCGCTGCCGTCTGCCAGGGGCTGTTGTCCCCGTGGAATGTTCCTCTACTCATTCCTGCATGTTTCTACTGGACTACGCAGTGTGGGTGCTTGGAATTTGCTGCGCTGTTTTAAAATGCAGAAGATAGAAGGTTGCTACACTTAGGAACTTAATTGTTCCGTGCTTTGCTGTGACATTTTCTCAACATAGCAAGTGATTTTTTTTTGTTTTCTAGAGATAGCATCGGTACACAGGGAGTCGCCTTTTCAATGTTGAGATAATACATTTGGGCGAAAAGGCAAGTATTTAAGGCAGATATGCAGGGGAGGACACCGCATTTCATCAATATCTTTTAAATGAAAGTACTATTTCAAGGTTGCCAGCTATGGGAGTGGGGGGTGGGGTCCCGCCCTGGGCGCTTCAGCCTTTGTGGGACAGTGAGGGCTTCTCGGGAACGCCTTTCTGGGCTGCACTGGCACCATTTACGTGAGGACCTCCTGGGCCGGCTTGCACGAGCGCTGCCTGTCTTCCCTCTAGCACAGGGGTTCTCAGTTCGGGGGCAGGGGACCCTTTACCCCCAGGGGACTTCCGGCCCTGTCTTGAGGCACTTGTGGTTGTCACGACTGTGGGGGACCTGCTATCGGCATCCAGTCGGCGGGCCCCAGGCCTGTCACTCCGTCATCCTATGGCGCACGGGCCGGACCCACACAAAGCATGATCCCTGCCGTGTGTCCCCAGCGCCGAGGCCAAGAAACCCTTCTCTGTGCTGGAGGACTGCGATGTCTTAGTGGGGCCACGCCTGTGGTCTGCGTGGGTGACCCCAGGAGCTCCAGTGGGTAGAGAAGCTGCTGGGAGCATGGGAGATCGTACTTCTTTCTACCCGGCACCTGCCCTGTTCGGGGCATTTCCAAACAATTGTGTATGTGATGCGATTACGTATGGTCTTTAACCTATTTGGGAGATAAAACTCCTCCCCAGCTAACAGAAATCTGTGAGTTTATCAGCGGCTCTGCCTGGGGGTGAGGACCTCCCCCCACCCCACCGGGCAGTACCTGCGGGGGCTGCGCGTGCGTGTGTGCGTGAACATATGTGTACACGCGCCAGAGCCAGAAACACATGCCCGTGTATGCTTGTACGTGATGTCCGCATATACCACAGGCATGCTTACATACGTGCACGCACACTTGTATTTTCCTCTTTGTTTTTATTACAAAAACAGTACATGAATACATCGTTTTTGTCACAGGCACAATCAATAAATAGAGACCAGCTGTTTTTCCCTTCTCTAATCCCACTTCCTACCATTAATGGTTTGACGTGAACCCTTCCAGGCTTTTATCTAAACATTGAAATCAATTAAGCCCGGCATAGTCAAATACGGTACGTGATGCATAGCTTAGGAGGCACAGCCATCACTCTGCGGCTAGACGTCTTCGATGGCTGCAGTCTTCTCTTTCCACAAACTGCACGTCTTTTTGTGGGCCCCAGCCTTGCAGGAATGACGGTTCCCGTGGACCGAGACTCAGCAATGAGATGTGTGGGTCTAAAGGCACGTACGCTGAAAGTTTTGCACTGCTGTGAATGGCGATTGAGAGCCCTGATCCTCACATGCGCTTAGCATCATGAAACGTCTTCATTCCTTGTCAGTTTTCCTAGAGTGATGGGCGGAGACGTCCTCCCAGCTGCCATGCGCTTCTCCCTGGTGTGGACGGTGCGTTTCCTGGTGCGGTTCAGCATACTCTTGTGTAGCCTTTGGTCATTTCAGTTGCTCTGTCGGAATTTTTTTTTCAGACAAGTGATCCTTGCAAGACGTGTTAGGTGCTGTCATTCCTCTGCCTCGCATGGGTCTCAAGCATTGAAGGAAGCAATGTTTGCTCCCCAAGGAGCGTTTTTGGTCCCTGTGACTAGAGACCGGGCACTGCCGGCACCCAGCGGGCGGAGCCCAGAGATGCCGCATGGCCCCATGGCACAGACAGGTGGCCCAGACTGTCGGTGGTGTCTTGGCTGAGAAGCCTTACTCTCGGGCTGCTCGTTTTGCTCCTGAATCCCTACTGTGTTTGGATCGCGAGGGCCCACAGGAGCAGGTTTTCGCTAACTCGGGGCATTAGCCCGTTCCCCGCGCCCTCCCCGCCCTGCTCCAGCCGAGCCGACCCCTCGGTGTTCCCCAGACATACCGGGGCTCCAGCCTGCCAGGCAGACTCCTGACTTAGTGCCTGGAGTTAGCAGAACCACCCCCCTCCCCAAGATGTCCGTGTCCTGTAGACAGAACCTGTGACTGTGTTGCCTTCCATGGCAGAAGAAACTGTGGATGGGATTAAGTTAAGGATCTGGAGATGGGGGGATGGTCCTGGATGATCCAAGTGGGCTCAGTGTCATCACTAGGGTCCCTGGAAGAGGGACGGTCAGGGAAGGAGACGTGGAGGGAAGCAGAGATCAGAGTGGCGTGGGCCACGAGCTGAGGCCTGTGGGCGGCCCCTAGAAATGGCAGTGGGATGGGTTCTTCCCTAGAGCCTCCAGAAAGATCACAGCCTTGCCCACCCAGTTTTGACTTGTGACTTCTGGAACTGGAAGATAACAACGTGTGCTATTTTGAGCCACCGAATCTGTGGTCTTTTGTTACAGCAACAAGAGGAATCTCACAGAGTGCCCTGAGGGCTCGATCCCAGGAACAGAACTGTGAGATCAAGACCTGAACTGAAATCAGTCAGCCGCTTAATCGCTTAACCGACTGAGCTACCCAGGTGCCCTGAGAGTGGTTATTTTATTTATTTATTTAAAAAAATTTTTTTAATGTTTATTTATTTTTGAGAGAGACAGAGCGTGAGCAGGGGAGGGGCAGAGAGAGAGAGGGAGACACAGAATCCGAAGCAGGCTCCAGGCTCTGAGCTGTCAGCACAGATCCTGATGCGGGGCTCAAACTCACAAACCATGAGATCATGACCTGAGCTGAAATTGGACGCTCAACCGACTGAGCCACCCAGGCGCCCCAGGATGTATTCAGATTAAAAGGAAGTTAGTGGAAGTGGAACTCCTAATTCCAAGTGGTAGTGTGATTTCTAGAGAATTCTGTCGACCAAATCACCATCATGGGGACTAGTTTTGTGTTTTCAACTCTGGATCGTGGAAAATGTACCCAAACAACTGCTTCTGGGTTTCCCTTCAGGAACATCACTTAGGATTCTCAAGGCAGACCTTATGATAGGAATACTTTCACATTATTGGTTGAAAATTTTAGAATTTTTCAAAGCCGATTTGGAGGAACGAGTCTCGAAGCAGTCCCAGGGACGCAGATAGTTCCTTATTTTTAACCTAAGAGCACTCGTTCCAGAACTGTGCACAAACTGCAGCTGTTTCCATAGAAACACTCGCAGTCCAGATAGGAACAAAACATCGGACCCATCCAGTTTTTTGTGTCTTAGCGTTTGTTGCCAGGATGGGTCCTGCTGTTCATCTGTCGTCAGAAACCAAAGTCGTGTTAGGATTCCAGTCGAATTTGATCAGTCGCTTGGAGTTCTCCTTCGTTTCTGCAGTGACTGTGTATCGGGGCTCGGGCGTGAGTGAATCACAGCCAGGAGCGACGTGGGAAAGCATCCTTGCCACGCCTGGCTCCTTCTTCCCCATTCAGGCCAAGAGAAAGAAGCCTACAGATGCTCTGCTTCTCATTTAAAGGAGTTGCTCTCCGAAGATCTGTACCCTCAAAGGAGAAAAGACACGAGGGCAGGGAAGGGTTTGGGGGTGTTAGTAGACCCTTCCTACACCACATATTCGAGATTCAGCTCGAATTTCCAACACAGAATAGAGAGCTGAGCCAAATGGACAGCGGTTTATTGATGCTTAGCTCAGTCAGCTGAAGCGATTTTATCGTCCATCTGACCTAGATCTCAACTGAGATTTTCTTGAACTTTTGCTTTTCGTGTACATGGATATTTACAAAAAGAAAACTGAGGAGAGAAAACATAAGCAGTGTCAAATCTGTAGCTGCGATTGAAATCTGAAGGCACAAGGCTCCAAGCCAACACGACGTCCCAGAGTGTGGCACTGGGGGGGTCTGTCATGTCTCAAGCGTCAAATGGGACCTTGGCTTGCCTGGGGTTCCATTTCTCTTCTGGAAAGCAACCGTATTTTAGGAACATGCAAAATTATATAGTAGACTGCAGAATTCATACATAAATTGAAAAAAACCAAGGATTGTTCTGGGTATGTAAAATATACCGCAGAACTGTGCTGTATTAGAAGTGCATTATTTTGGGGCGCCTGGGTGGCGCAGTCGGTTAAGCGTCCGACTTCGGCCAGGTCACGATCTCGCGGTCCGGGAGTTCGAGCCCCGCGTCGGGCTCTGGGCTGACGGCTCGGAGCCTGGAGCCTGTTTCCGATTCTGTGTCTCCCTCTCTCTCTGCCCCTCCCCCGTTCATGCTCTGTCTCTCTCTGTCCCAAAAATAAATAAACGTTGAAAAAAAAAATTTTTTAGAAGTGCATTATTTTTTTCAGAAAAATGCAGACACTATTTAGGGCTTCTGTGAACTGTGGGGGCCTAAGTAGTTTCTGCAGCATAAACGCACCTTTCCATTCATGGTTTAATGGTGCCTGGGCTGTAACAGAACAGGTGGTCAGGCAAAAACAGCGAGGGGGACAAAAGATTCATTTATTACTTGTGTCTACCTTAGACCTGTTCAGGGAATGGAATTTGGAGATTACATAATAAATATGAAGGCTCAGTGTTTGGTTGAGGCTTTGCCTTCATTTCTTCTCCATCATGAGCACAGGGACATACGTTTTAAAGCTTTTTTTAAAAAATTTGTTTAACGATTATTATTGAGAGATAGAGACAAAGCATGAGCATGGGAGGGGCAGAAAGAGGAGACACAGAATCCGAAGCAGGCTCCAGGCTCCGAGCTGTCAGCACAGAGCCCAACGCAGGGCTCGAACTCACAAACCACGAGATCATGACCCGAGCCGAAGTCGGATGCTTAACCAACTGAGCCACTGAAGCTTTTAAAGGCATTTGTGAGAGATTATATGTAAGCCATAAAATGTATTACCTATCAAAAATTAGAATCCGTACAGAATACAGTTGACTTACAGGAAATAAACCATCCCCAATTTTAAGCGGCTCTCGGACTCCCTTCAAAATGACCTGGGGAACGTTTCTTTTTTGCAAACCGTCCTCAGGGCCTTGGTTTGCTTTCATGTATTTAATTTCACCGAAATGGTATTTCAGGAAAGAAAGCCTTTCTGGAGATTGTTTTCCTCAGAGTGCTCAGAACTGGGATGATGGTACTCGTAGGAGTGGGGTTCCAGCCTTCAGATCAGTTGTGTGGCGCGGATGTGGAAGAAGGGGCACCGGAAGTGATGCTGCGTCTTAGGCGCGAAGTCAATCTCCTCCAGTAAACCTACCACACTACGGGTCCTCCTGGCAGATGGCTGCTTTCGAGGGTGGCAGCACGGGACGGCACAGTAGACGAGGCGTACTGTATCAAAGGCAAAGCCGTCTTGTCTGTCCCTCGGTGAATGCACCAGAAATGAGTGAAGGAATCCTTCTAGAGCTTTGGGCTTCTAGTGCGGACACACACACAAGACGCGTGTGCCACGCTCTCAACCCGGCCCAGAGCAGGTCCCGTGTGCCTGCATCTGGAGTAGGGAGACAGGGCAAGAAATGGCGCTTTGCGATACGTGTCAGTAGTCTTCTAGATTCATAGCTAGCTCTCAGATGACCAGGCGATCGCTTGCGTCATTGTGAGATGTATTTTAAAGAGCGCTATCCTCAAGCATAGAAATGCTTGCCTGGTGTTCGGCACGGCCCAGGCAGCTTTTCCCGACGGGTGGCGTGGAAGCCACTTCGCCTGTCTTTGGTTTCTTCTACAGACGTTGTCCCTTGCCGCGTGGCTTTGCTTATTTTTCTTGCGAGCTGTGCCGAGTCTCAGAAACGTGCTTCACCTCGGCCGCTGTGCTGTTTCTTTTATGCCTTCGGTGGACAGCCCTTTCGAAGCTGGCGCTTTGCTTCTCTTCCCGCCTATAATTCTTTTCTTCCCCTCATTCTTTTTTCTGATAGTGGCTATTACTTGAGATCTGCCTGGAAAGAGTAGGATTAGCTAGGACTGGCTCTTCCACCGCCCTGCCACCCTCGGCAACTTGAATCCACATAGAATGGCAGCTAACCTGCGCCTGGCCGGCTTGGACAGAATCACGATCGCCTCTCATGTACACCTCAGAGACTCAGAGGCAGTGCTTTTTAAACTGTGTCCGCTTGTAGTGGATGTATGAGAATTAGTACACGTTACAAAGTAATACCGCTAACTTTAGCAGGGTTCAGAGAGGCTTTCCTGTGGATTGGTCAGGTAAATTACATGAGAACTTACGAGGACACGATGAATTTGCTCATTGTTGTTCGGCCCCTTCATATTTATTCCTTACTTTGGACTTGTCTGGATCTACGGTAGAACGTTCCAGAAATTTCATTGGGTATAATGTCTGATTTGGCACTAACTTATTTATGGGCCTACTTGCAGTGTATTTTCCTTGGGCTTCAGTTATATGACTGCCATAAATTTTAATTACACTAATTAGACATAGATGGATGCTTAAGGCCCAGTTGGATTCCTAACCCTGTTCAGCTGCCTCTGTCATTAGTATTTTTCAGTGACATGATTTGGCACCATTTTCCAACACATTTTCAGGAAATTAGTTTTAAGTTGGAAAAGAACTTGCCTAATAAAGCTACTGACATTCAACTATTTTCTTTACCTTCTTGGGGAATTGGACTTGAGTAAAATGCACACGTTGAAACTGTAATTTGTACACTCCTTTTTTAAACCGTTGGCTTTCGGATTGGCTTTGGTACTCGAAGAAGGCGTCTTACCCAGTCCTCTGGCCGGGCTGGCTAGCCCGCACGCTCACATCCAGCTCAGAGGAGCCTGACTTAGTGCAGGGCCGGCTGACAGGCTTTGACACGTGGACCGACACCAGTCGATGGATGGGCAGCGTCTGCAGGGAGCTTGGTGTCGAGAAGGATTCCGAGGGCTGGACCTAGCGGGCGGATGCCAGCTTTGATGAGTGTGTGTGCCCTGGGCATGGGACAGGGTGGCCTCAGGGGCACTCCTGCCATTCCCATTTTAGTGAGGACCACCACATCGGAGCCTGATACGAGCCCCTAAGAGCTCCAAGGCCAGTTAGGATCCTCTGGACAAGGCCGGGCCGCCTGGGGTCAGAGGCTTTTTGAACTCCGGTGAGCATCAGAAGTACCAGTGGGACTTGTTAAAGTCCAGATCACCTGACCCCGTCCGCACAGTGTCTCCTTCAACGGGTCTGGGGTGGCACCCGAGGTTGCCGTTTGTCACAAAACTCCTGGTAATGCTGAGGCTGCCGGTCCGGGACCCCACTTTGAGAATAACTGCCTTAGAGGCTACAGGGCCATGTGCCCCTGCCTCTGCCCCTTCTTCACCGCTCTCTGCGACCTCAGGGACGTCTCTGGATTTGGGTTTTTGGGCACGTGTGCCAATGTCTGTCTGTCCTTTGCGGCGCCGGGTTTGGGGCAAGTCTGGCATCCCTGGCTTCTGCCTGAAAACAGATAGGCCTCATATTTAGCCACACCTAAACTTGAAGGGCCTACAGCAGTCTACTCTGGCCATGAAAGGATTGCTCTGAAGATACAGGCCGCATCTCTGCCGTTTAGTCTGCATTCGGCAGCGACTCGGGACACACGGTGATGCGGTCTGCCAAGCGAACGCATGGAAGTTTGGGCCCGTGGAAGGTGACAACAGAGCCCGCGTTCTTACACCCGGAGGGTGGTCATGCCGATGCACTTAGCGAGGCTGACCGGTCTCTACCCCCCTGATTACCTCACGCCAACACCCACGCCTGCCAGGGCCGACCCTCCCGCTCTCGGATATTTGCGGTCATGTTTGCTCCCAGTTCCGTGCGCTTAGCCCTTGCCGAGTATCTGCTCTCTGCAAAGCATTTTGAATGTCGCCTACGGTCAAGGGGGTTTTCTGTCCAGAAGCAGTGTGAGGGGTGCGTGGCTGTCCTGTCACTTTGTCTACGTGGCGTTGGCGGTCAGGCACGGCAGACGAGGCGGGAAACCAGAAGCATGTCTCACGTACCCGGCGCAGTGTTTAGCTACTGATGACGGGGGATGAGGAGAAAGGAGCCGGTTCCATCCTGCTCTGCGACAGTGCCATGTGGGAAACCGTGCACCTGAGACAGCACAGTGCACGGGTACGTGGAGGACGCCAGCCTTTCCGTCATTTCTCTACAACAAGCACGATTTGCTCACTGCCGTCCCCAGTCTAGACCCGGGGACGTTGTGCAAAAGACCTACGCGTCATTCTTATCACTCCTCGTTTCCAAACGCTTTATTTCTGTCACTTGGTGCACTAACTTCAGTAGGTACTGAGCAGGGTGAGTTTCTAGAATCTGCATGATGGTGTCGAGAACGTGGGAAGGTGACATTTTGACTTCATGGATTTTTCTGGGCCCGTCTCTTGCAGGGTGTCGACCATCCAGCAGCAGCTGGCCCAGCTTGACAACGAGTCCTGGCCGGGTTTGGCCGAGGCCGACAGGGACCGGCTGCAGCTCATCAAGGAGAAAGAGGCCCTGCTTCAGGAGCTGCAGCTCATCGTTCAGCAGCGGAGGCCGGTGGAAGACGTGGCCCGGCTGGAGGAGGAGCGGAGGCGCCTGGAGGAGGAGATCCAGCGCGCGCGGGCCACGTCCGTGCAGGGCGCCACGGAAAGGTGTGCCGGCCCCCCTCCCCCCCGGGGGTGGGGGCCGGGGGGGACCCGGCTGCTAGTGCAGAACCAGCTGGAAGAGCTGACTCGGAGAGCTGGCCTGGCACGTGACTCGAGATCGGTGCCGGTTGCCGTTGGCGCTCGAGGCGTCTACCGCCTGGCGTATCTCCTCGCCAAGTAGAGCGAAGGGAGAAGGCGCGGGGAGCGCACGCCTTCCCTTCTGTAGGAGGTCCCGGCTCTGCCCAGGGCTCCTGAGCTTCCTGGCTCCTGGACAGGAGCAGGAGGGGATGGAGAAGGGGATGGAGCGAGGGAAGCCGCCCGCTTAGACCGCACCCCTTCCCGGTACGGGGGTGCTTTCCTCCGGTCCGCAGGACGGCAGCCTGGACGGGTGTGGGCTTGCCGGCGGGAGGGCGGGAGGCGGGCGCCGGCACAGAGAGGAAGCCTGCGTTCCTCCATTGTGGGCGTTGGGGCCAGCCACCTCTTCCTTTCATCTGCGACCTTGATTCGCCCCCAGGAAAGCCCGCTCTCTCTGCTGCGGCAGGAAGCCGGCAGCCTGGCGTGTGTCCGTGCCCAAACGTGCCTCTCCTCGGTCTGTCCTGGGCTCTTGGCTGGTGAGGCCAGCACAGCGTCCCGTGTCCTCGGTGCTCGGCGCTTTGGGGTGTGTGGGGGTCTCCTGGTTTCCATCTGGCGCGTGTGACCACGGGCCGCGCCAAACGCTGGGTCTGACCTCCACGTTTCGGGGCTGTCGGATGGGTATCTGAGGGCATCAGCTGAGCTTTGGCGAGCCCACCCTGTCTGATGATCTAGTGGACCTTCGACTTCAGCGTGTTAAGAGGACCGTACGCTGCATCTACGTGAGCATTGCCGACGTGGATTCAGCCGTCAGCTGAATGATTCCATCTGTACGGAGGCCCTTAGAACTGTCAGTTCATCCTGTTAGCCCGTTCTCTGTGTTGGGGGTTATCGATGCTCGGATAGTGATCGTTTTTTGCTGAGGTCTGTGTGGTGACATTAGTGGCCGATGTCAGTGTTGGCAGGCAGTGTTGGTGTTTGGAGAGCCCATCTCCTAGCAATAGGCGGGATGTGTTCTGGTTAGCTTAAGATGCTAGCGTGGCCTGTCACTTCACTCAGAGTAAACACGGAGTTGATTTTGAGTCTGAGAAGGGACTATGGAACTGAAGTGTTCATCCGTGCCCTTGTGCTTCCAGACTCTTCTGCTTCAACGTTACCTTCCTCTCTACCCTTGGTATTCTGTTGTACGTGTTCTGGCTAGGGGGGCCTGGGCACTCATTGGGTTGGTTCTCTCTTAGGGGGGTGGATCCGGTCCCACAAATGCCACCTGCTTCTCCACACCCCACATCCATGCACCCCTGACTATATTTGCCCTCGCCGTGTGGAAACCCTGGCACATGTGAGTGCTGTGGTCCCAGGGTACAAATCCACGGAGCCCCATGGAGCCACCGTTCCCCTTGATGCCTAGGTCCGGGACTGGCTCAGCCAAGCTCATCCGGCTGAGGGAGGCTCTTGTGGGACCAGCCCAGGAGAGAGCCGTCCACGGGTGCCGCTACACGGCCCTGGGCGAGGACGGCACGCCCTTGTGCCGGCAGCGCTTTCCCCCCGAACACTTCGGGAACATTCTCTGCGGCCGTGTGCCCCTCGAGGGCGCCTGCAGCAGTGAAGCGTGGGCCTGGTGGAGGCAGGCCTGTTTCTCCGCATGCCTCCCTCCACTTGATGAGTGCTGGAACCGGAAGTGTGGGCCCCCGAGGTAGGAGGCTCTCCCTGCGAATAGGCTGAGGGGTGTGAGAGAGAGCCGGTGTGGAGCTGGGCCAGAGTGATCGACGTTGGCGTCTTAGGGCTGAGATGTGCCCGCTGCTCGGCCAGTCTTTGCCCGTCTCGGCCTCCGTGTCCTCATTGTCGGGTAGGAACTTGGCGCCGGGGTCGTGAGTGTCACTGGGGATTGGGACGGCATAAATCCTTTCCCCTGTCGAAGGACAGAGCAGCTGTTTTAAGGGTGCCTACTTGGTCCCATGCTACAATGCCATCGTTTGATTTGTAAACAAGGACTGTTTTGTTCTGAGGCAAACATACTCACACATTCATTCGGTGACTGTTGAGTGCCTGTACGTGTCAGGCTCTATTCTAGGCAGTGGGCTTAGTGTAGTGGAAAAAGGTCATCTCAGAAATAATAAAGTAGAAAAAGCGGACAGAGGAGAAAAATTGTCTCCAACCCTGTGACAGTTGCTGTTTTGTTTTGTTTGTGTCTAATCTTTTAGTTCTGTAGATTTTAGAATTGTATGCATTTTTGCCCGGAGAGGCCTTAAATGAGGGACCCGGGTTTGTTCTAAGAAATTCCAGTAGATTACTGCGTGTTCTGCATTCGAGTCCATTTTCTAGTCTAGCCCCTCATGCTTTCTGTCTGTTCTGTGCCTGCCCACCCCCATCCCCCACTCACCCCCCCACCCCTTCCCCCCATCCATATGCCCACCCCCCCCCCCCCACACTCACCCATCCGTCCACCCGTCCGTCCGTCCACCCGGCCACGCACCCGCTGGGCTCCTACAGTGTATCAGGCACTGCTCAGGGTGCTGGGGGTACGTTTTCAAGCAAGACAAAACCAGTCTGTGTTATCCTGGTGTTTGTGACCTGGGCGTGGTTTTTTAGAATTTAGTCTTTCAAACCTAAATCGGGGGGGCGGGGGGTGGAATTCACAGTTGGATTTCTTGTAGGGAAAATACACTCACTCTGTCTCTGAAAAATCCACCAATGGACCGTTTTCTTACCTACAGGATTCTCCTTCAGGAAAAAAGAAACTGTCTGCTTACGCAGCTAGAAGAGGCTACCCGCCTAGCGTCCTATCTCCAGTCCCAGTTAAAAAGGTGGGTAACTTTCACGTTAGAACGACGCGTCCGTGAACGTCTTCATTCCCTCTGGCTTGTTTTTCTCGTAGCAGAACTTGGAACCGGAAGCGGTTGTAAACACAGGGTAGAAAAGCAGCTTCGTTGTATTTTTCAGAGAGGCTGCTAATGTGTGATTCAGGGAATATGAGGAGAACTTGGCGGCAGAATGACGAGTCTGAAGTCCAATTCGTCCGTCGGTTTTGTAATTTAATCCACCGCTTCCGAAGCGTGTATATTCATCTCCATATGCGCATGGATATTTTTATGTTGTTTTTTTTTAATGATGTGACTATTTGTAAAGTAAGCTTTGGATGCTTAGTAATAGCTTCTGCTTTCGAGTACTTACCGTATCGTGAAGCATAATGTAAGGGCTATCTATGTAGTATTTCCTCAGTTACTCCTAAAAATGCCACGAGGGAGCAGGAATTATTTCCCAGCCCCCAGTGAGAAAGTAGGGGGTTCCGAGAGGGCATACAGCTTGACCCAGCGGACCCAGCTACTCTGCGTCTGAGCTGGACCGAGGACTCGGGCGTGAGTCTCTGATGCTAACTGCTGCTCTCTGCTGATATTCGAAAGAAACAAAGGGAATATTAACGAAGTCGCCTTCTAAATGCTCGCAAGTGGCTAAAGGCCCGCTCTGGTTCACGGGAGCCTTGGGCAGGGCTTCGTTCCCTCTGGAACAGACCAGACGCTCAGCTTCGCAGCAGAGAGCGGTGGGGCTCCAGCCGGGGTGTGCAGGCTGCTTGTCTCACGGCACGGGGTGTCTGTCCTTTCAGCCTGTCTGCCAGCACCCTGACCGTGTCTTCGGGGAGCAGCCGCGGGTCCCTGGCCTCCAGCCGGGGCTCGCTCGCCTCCAGCCGCGGTTCCCTGAGCTCCGTCAGCTTCACGGACATCTACGGCCTCCCGCAGTACGAGAGGCCGGACGCCGAGTGTGGCCAGCTTCTGCGCTTCGACCTCATCCCCTTCGACTCCCTGGGACGAGACGCCCCCTTCTTCGAGCCCCCGGGCCCCTCGGGCTTCCACAGGCAGAGGCGCTCCCTGGACACGCCGCAGTCCTTGGCGTCGCTGTCCTCCCGCTCCTCCCTGTCCTCTCTGTCGCCCCCGAGCTCGCCCTTGGACACGCCCTTCCTCCCGGCCTCGCGCGACTCGCCCCTGGCCCAGCTGGGGGACAGTCTCGAGGTGCCCGGCCTGGGCGCGCTCGACAGACTGCGGGCTCAGGCCTCGGCTTTGGGGGACGAAGACTCGCAGGGCACGGCGTCCCTCCAGCCGCACGGCTTCCCCGGAGACGGGGAAGGACCTCGCGAGCGAGGACCCCAAGCGGCTGCCGCTCCCGTGGGCGCAAGTAAGTATTGATGAGCCCTGTGGGGGGGGGGGGGCCCCAGAAGGGTTTCCGAATTGGGGAAGAGATCGCGTGCGGTGGCACTGAAGCCAGCCCGCCGGCTCTCCAATTCCATAGTGAGCTCTCAATTCCAGACCGTTGGTAGGGCCAGGAGGCGCGCACCTGCTGTCCGTGTGCTCTCCTAGCCGGGCCTCGTGTCTGTGTCCCGGAGACATCGTTCAAATGGCAAAGGCGCCTTTCCCGGGCGTCTGGCTCGTTCTCAGAATGCGCTTGCCTGTTGGAAAGGACGGGAAGAGCCACAGTCTTCCACACTCAGAGGCTGCTACAGAGGTACCGGGGCCTCCGTGAGTTCCCCGGGGCCTGTGCGGCCTAGGAGCAGCAGTGGGGTTGTAGCCCAGCACACATCCCTCTTCCTTTGTCCCTCTGACTTCGTCTCTTCTTCTTTGGCCTTACGGTTTTCAAAGATGTAATTTATCAGACGTGGGATCGAAAAGAATTGGTGTCATTTCAAAAGACGTGCCAGTCAGCATCAGTCATTTCCACCGAATCGATTTTTCTGGTAGTCTTCAAATCGAGGCGCACGAACTGGGTCCGTCTAGTCCGAGTTCATTCGGCTTCTGCTTGGCGCCAGGGCCCGTCCGCTTGTAGCCCGTGTGGGGAACTGGACTGCCGTTCTACAGAATATTCCAGCTGATGGCTTGTGCCCAAAGCAGGGCCTGGGCTCCAGCCTTCCTCTTCTTGACCCCGTGCGCCTCTTTGAGCCAACCCTCCCGCAAGATTAACTTCTTTGGGTTTCACAGAGGATCGAGAACCAGGTCTCATTCCTGAAGTTCCCGAACTTTTCTTTACATGGCAGAAAGGTTTTAGACATTCCATTTAAGCAAACGCTAGGTGTTTGTATAGCTTACTGAATCTCAACCAGGGGAGTGTTTGAACCCTGGAAGGTACCTGTCAGTGGCTGGAGACATGTTTTTGGTTGTCACAGCCGAGGTGGTGGTAGGGAGGTGCTGCTGGCATCTGGTGGCCAGAAGCCAGGGATGCGGTTCAGCGTCCTCCAGTGCACAGCACAGTCCACCGCCCCCACCCCCACCCCCACCTCCGAGAATGATCCGCCAAGATGTCGGTAGTGCCGATGCTGAGAAACCCTGGGCGTGTACCGTTGAGTAGTTCAGCAGCAGGGGGCAGAAATAGAACGCGAACACGGAACCAGGTTGTTTTGGTGGGAACGGCTTCAGACTCGCAGCTTAGAGGCCCAGATTCTGTTCCCTGCCCTGTTGACTGGTTAGCTGTGTGACCTTGAGTGCATCCCCGGACTTGGCTGAATCTTGGCTTCCCTGCCCTTGAACGAGGCGGTCTTGATGGGCTCTCGCATTCTCCACCATTCTGTTACCCTGAGTTTTATCGATACAACCACACTGGTTATTATGTACGTGATATAGTAATCTTCCCGGTTAGCACCTACGTGCGTAATCAGGGAGCTCTGAGGTCCTCAGGCAGCCCGGTGGCTTTCCGGCATCTGTTACTTTGGTGCTTTCTCTGTGTTTGCAGACACACCTTTCATACCCCCAGGTATATTGTTTCAGTAATTCACATATGCAGGTGACCTTCATTCACTTTGCTCTTTATAGTCACAGGTTCCGTGCTCCGTGTTTACTCCTTTGATTCAAAAAAGAAAAAAGAAAACACAAAACAAGGACCGGATTGCACATCTGTCGTTAAGCTCACCGCTCTCAGTGCCTTGCCTCCCATACCAGCCCGTCTTTATAAAGGTTGAGATGCAAAAGTAGTCTTGTTAGGCAGAAAATCCACACGAGGCCCAAGGGAAAGACAGGATGAGATGGAGAAGAGCTGACTGACTTTCTGATCCTGATTTCTTTATTTTTCTTCCCACTCTGGCTGACATTATAATGGTTCAGACTCCTTAGCCGGGGAGGTATTTGCTTGCGCCACGTTCAGATACCGCCACCTCGTGGTAGATTCTTACATGACACTGTCAGTTGACTCCGGTCTTTAGAAATAATTAGCTCAGTGAATGAATTGGTCCTGGTGGGTGCTCCCAGAAGGCTGGGTTGGGTAACGAGCTTCAGGCATGGACACAGGGTGACTTCTGGCCTCTCTTGATGCGTGTGGGAATGCTTGAGCCCAAAGTCATCGTAGCTTTGTACAGTTGGCAAGGACCTCTGTACCTTCCTTATTTTAGCCCAGCCCTCGTTTATGATGCCTGCCTGCCATCATGTGGTTCCCTCTGACTTTCTGGTTTCCCTAGGAACAAAACAGTCTGAGTTTGACCTCCAGCAAGTTTTAGAAAGATAAAATCTTAGTAAGATAAAATTCTAAATTGCCCAAACTTACAAAGCAAGCCCTAGGAATAATTTCTTCCATTGTGTTTTAAATGGAAGAAATGTGTTTAAATGTGTTTTGCCTGAGGAGGCAAAACATGGGACTGGGGAGTGGGAAGATAGACTGTAATCTGTAACATTTTAAATATTTTTACTATACTTTTATCTTCTTTGGGTTAAATTTTTTTTTTTTTTTTAGAGAGATCACAAGTGGGGGAGAGGGAGAGAGAGGAGAGAATCCCAAACAGGCTCCACGGCTCCACGGAGCCCAGTGCAGGGCTCGACCCCATGACTCTGGGATCACGACCTGATCTGAAATCAAGAGTTGGACACTCAACCGACTGAGCCACCCTGGTGCCCCTGTCTTCCTTGGATTTTAAAATTTTTTTTTTTCAACGTTTTTATTTTTATTTTTGGGACAGAGAGAGACAGAGCATGAATGGGGGAGGGGCAGAGAGAGAGGGAGACACAGAATCGGAAACAGGCTCCAGGCTCTGAGCCATCCGCCTAGAGCCCGACGCGGGGCTCGAACTCCCGGACCGCGAGATCGTGACCTGGCTGAAGTCGGACGCTTAACCGACTGCGCCACCCAGGCGCCCCAATGTCTTCCTTGGATTTTAAAAAGCAAATGTGCCGGGGTGCCCGGCTGGCTCAGTCAGTGGAACATGCGACTCTTGATCTTGGGGTCATGAGTTCGAACCCCACGTTGGGTGTAGAGATGACTTAAAAACAAAATCTTTAAAAAAGCCAAATATGTCAGATTTTGAAATCTTTTCCTATTTTCATTTCCCATTAGTATTTGCTAATCTAAATCTGGGAAAACCTTGATTTTGTTCACCCATTTACTGGCGTTTTTATTATGAATACTTATACTCTGTTGAAAATTGTTGGCTTAAATTCTGCAGTTTTTTCACTTTATGCTTTTTTTTTTTTTTATCTCTTTTCTCACGCGGCTCGCCAGACACACTCGCTGTAAGTGACCTTGGAATTCTTCACCTTGTTGGTCAGGCAGTAGGCACATCTTTGTGCAATGAATCAATGTATGTACGATGGTAGGAGCGTGGCCACAAAGGGCGTATCTTATAGTTGTACTTTAACGTAGCTCCACAGTTACTATTATTATTATTGTTAATTATTATTTCAACATTAGTATTTATCATGGTTATTGAAGTCGTCTAAGAACTTTTCGAAATGCTTTAAGTATTCATTCCTCTGTATTTTTCCCCGGACGTTAGTGGCTTACATTGTTTTAGTATGCCAGCTTTGCCCCAAATGTGATTTTCATTGTATTTTCTTTTCGTCAAGCAGTGTTGATGTCCTCGGGTCTCAGTGTCTGTCTGTCTGTCTTTCATGATGGAAAGGTCAGGGATTCCTAAGGTGAACGTGTGGAAGGTTGTTTCCTCCTTGCCTCATTGCCATTGCCCCCGGTGGTCCAGCCGGTTGCCTTGAAGGCTGAGAGCAGGTGGCTGGGCACGTAACGTGGGGTCTGCCGTGCGCTTTTTCTCACCCGGGGCAATGGCTCACCATACTTCATTCTGGCAACTGCTTCCCATTGCCAGTTGCTCCGTGAATGTGGTGACGAAGCCTGGGATCACTGAGGATTCATTCCTTCATTTCCTTTTTCTCCTCATCGACTGCCATTGCAACGAGGGAGAAATTTTGTTAGAGCTGTACCGTCGGGTTACCTGGAAGTGCTCGGGGTCACTGCCTGGTGTTAGTTATGTCCTGGACGGAATGCAAAGCCATGTCTAGGAGCCGTGCTGGGTGTCCGGGCTGGGGATGGAGATAGGGAGCAGTTCCGTCTGCTGGGGGTCAGGGCACCAAACCAGGGTTCCGTCTGCAATTCCGAGCTGGGGACTTTGGGGCCTCCCCTGTGGCGGGGGCGACCGGAAGAGCTGGACTTTGAGAGTCGGTGCCTCCGGCCACCCCAGAATGGAGCCGGCCTCGGTCCCCGACCGGGGAGGAGCCTGTAGTCGCCCAGGCCTGGCATTGCAGACCTCTGGAAGGACGGCTTTTGTCTGCAGTTGAGATCGTGAGCCTGAAGACCGCGGCCCTGTCTGTCTGTAGGCTCTTTAACGCGTTTGGATTTAATTGGTACGTGAATAATTTGGTTGAGACGAGAGCTGGTCGTCGGTGGACTGGACGTATCCCCCTGTACGGGGTGCACGGGTGCCTAGATGTTCACGTTCGGAGCTCAGGCGGCCGAAGAGAAGCCGCACGGGCCGGAGGGACGTGCAGTGTGTGCAGAGGCGTCACGAGGCGCGGTGCTCCGTTGGGGGCTCCGCGTTTGCACGCGGGCTCTAACCACGTCTGCCTCCCCAGGGAGCGCTGACGCTTGCGTGTGCACACTCCCATGTGGCGCGGGAAGACCGAATGCCCGCTTTGCTTGGCTTGGTGGAAAGGGCCTTGTCGCTGCGAGGGACCGGGCAGAGGCAGTCGATGAAATGCCGGAAGGAGGAATGTCCGAGGCCGTGTTGGGCTCGTGATTACAATAGATACGAGGCAAAAAGAAGCTGCCTCATCAGGGTGGCTTGCTCGCCCCAGAAAAGCCATTTGGGACGCCGATCTGGCCCCGGGGCTGCCGAGGACACCGCAGTGAGAGGGGTTGTTGCCAAGGCCATGTCTGGGGTCAGCCGTGTCCTGAAAGTCACCGCGTTTAGTTAGGGTTTGTTTGGATAATGAAAAAAATTTTTTTTCTGATGATAAAATATAGAGTGTGTGTTTAGTGTATAAAATGTGGGAAGGAACCATGCCGGATAAGGAAGGAAATGAAAAATGCCCCTGTCCCCTGCTCAGATACATTTAGGAGGACAGCTGCTGTCCACATTCGGGGTAACGTCTCTTGCCCGGTCTTTCAGGTATGACGGTCTTTTCTCCAAGTGTGATACGAAGGGGCGTCCCCCTGTCATCTTCTGTTCTGTGTGCTGGTTAAGGAGGTGAAAAGACATCTGTGACTGTTTAAAGAGCTTTTCAAGAAGTAACCAGAAGCCTGTTCCTGCAAATTTTCAATATCAAAAGAAAAATGAAGTGCAGCATATTTAAACATATGCATGTATATGATGTGCATGTCTGTATAATGGCGTGTCTCTGGAACGCTCAGCAATCTCATATGTGCACTGACTCAGAGTGTTCCTTTCTTGGCATCACGGTCCCTGGCCTCCCATGCTGTCCCCTCCTGACCCCCGGTGTGTCTCTTGTTTGTAGCGGTGACTCTTCGAGAGGACAGTGCCACGAGGTTGGAGAGGAGAGCACGCCATGTGTCTGCATGCCTGTCCGATTATTCACTGGCGAGCGATAGCGGAGTATTTGAGCCTCCAACCAAAAGGTTAGAAGCCGATCTTCTCCCTCAGCAGCCCTTCCACAGTGTTACTGTTTTTGTCGTTAATTTTTTTTAATGTCTATTTATTTTTGAGAGAGAGAGAGAGAGAGAGAGAGAGCGAGCAGGGGAGGGGCAGAGAGAGAAAGAGGGAGACACAGAATCCGAAGCAGGCTCCAGGCTCCGAGCTGTCAGCACAGAGCCCGGCACGGGGCTCGAACCCACGAGCCGTGAGATCGCGACCTGAGCTGAAGTCGGGCGCTTAACCGACTGAGCCGCCCAGGCGTCCCGTCCACAGTGTCACTGTTAAGCACGACGCGTGTACACACTGAGACTTCCACATATTGAAACTTTGCGTGTTTCTCCAGGGCTAGAATCTTTGCCTGGCTTCTCTCAACTTTGATAGGTTGGGCCTTAGTGAGCCACAAAGAAAACTCCTCTGACTTCTGTGTGGCGTCTGGAGGTTGGCCCTCCTTCCGTGGTTTGAGGACGACTTCCTCCTGTTTGGCCCTGGCCAGTTTCAGGCTTAAGCCCATGAGAGCTGGAACAGGAGAACCCATGTACAAGAGACACCCGCTTTTCTAGAAAAGCATTCGTTAGAAGTGAATGTTCTCCCTCCTTCCCTTCCTTCCTAAGCCGAAGGAAAGTGACAGGGCACCTTTGGGGATTCTGGACTTGATTTTGATTTGATATGTTTGATGTCATTGTTTCCTTTCAGGTGTCTGTCAGACATTTCACTTATCACAAGTTTTTTAAAAGTTACTTTTGAGCTTTGCCCTGAATACCACACGTGGTTTTGAAAGACATCCCAAGTTATTTTCTCAAAAACAACAACCCTTTGTAGGCAGGTCCCCACTGAGATAGGGCATGGCAGGTCCCCAGGGCCCATGACAGTGCAGTCACTTAAAGAATTTGTTTATGTCGCAACTTAAGAAAGCTCTCCTCGGTGAGAAGCGCCCCTGACACGAGGGGGCTTCCGCCAAAGCGGCGCTGATCGGTTCCCTGCGGAATAACCCTGTGACTTCCGGTTTGTTCAGGAGTGAAGATACCGAGGAGTCTGCACATGGAGACGCTTGTGGTAACGAAGGGCCCCAGATCCACGTTGGATTCTTGTGAGTACAGGAGACTCCTAGAGATGATCTGTAGCGCGGGGCCCATCCGGCGACTCACACTTCCAGGCCGGGCGGGCCCGGACCGTGGTCCGGGTGCCGCCCCCGGCCTGGACACCCCCAGCCTGCTTCGGCGTCTCAGCTGAGGGGACGGAGGTGGCGGGACGGAGGGTTGGGGTTGAGCCGCTCCGTCGCTGGCCTCCAGCGCCGAGAGTCACAGCCGGGATGTCCCCTCGTGGAGCTGGGGGCCAGGGGCCATAAGCGGGGGGCCCGGAGAGCCCCGGGGAGCGAGCGCACGCTCCGCCTGGAGCTGCCCGTGTCCGCTGCGGCACGGACGGGGAGGCCCAGCCCCTCGTGCCCGCAGCCAGAAGCCGGGTGGGCCGCAACGCGGAGCCTTTGGGTCCCAGTCCCCGTTTCAGGGAGAGCGGTAACCAGCGGTGTCGCGACTAGCAAGGCGGGAGGCGTGCATGCCCACGACTTCCTTGGCTCACCCCCGTCATCGGGCCGGGTGTTTCTCAGTGCCGGCGCTGTGGCCGTCCGGGACTGGGTCGTTCTTTGCCGTGGGAGCCGACCTGGGTGCTGGAGGGTGTGGCACGGGAACCTGGTCCCCGCTCCCCAGGTGCCGCTGACACATAACATCCCCCCCCTGCCCCGCACCCGGTCACGACAGTAAGACGTCTCCCGACTTCGCACACGTCTGGGGGCGGGGGGCGGGGGGTGCAAAACCGCCCTCAGTCGAGGGCCGCCACTGTAGTCGGTCCGAAGGAAGTTTCCACCGTGGGGGATGTGCGCTCAACGAACTCGCGTTTTGTTTTCTAGGCTCGACACTGCCAGCGAATGTCTTCTCGTGAATGTGTTCCAACTAAAGAATTTTGCGGGGCTGGTCATGAAGGAGGACTGCAAAGTGTAAGTAGGCTACCTGGCCGGCAGCGTTTCCTTTCGGGGGGCGCGCTCCTGGCCGCCTCGCCAGCCCCGCTCGCCGACCGGTTCTGCTCGGCGGCTTCGGGAGGGAAGAGGCAGCTTTGGAACCTGAGTTCCAAAGCGTATGCCTAAGAAAATACCGGGAAAGGTCTGAAACCCAAAGGATCGTAAGTTTTAGAGACAGTCGTCGTGACCTGAGGCAGAAGAAGTTGAGGGAGCCGGGCCGGGCTGGTCATGTGCCGCGGTGATGCTGAGAAAGTGGCCAGAGGCAGTGTTTTGGTTTAAAATGTGCATCCTGGTCTGGGAGCTGGGTGATGTGGCGCTCAGCTCTCTGATCCCACGAGGGGAACGGAAAGCCTTCTCCCTGGGCCCCGGGGGCCCTTGTCTGCGCAAAGGAGAAGGTAAGACGCGTTGTTGCCGCTGGAAGGCGCTACCTCTGTGAGCTCCGCAGCCGGAGATGGGTCCCACTTACCGGGCACTGACTTTTAAGCCTTTCTCTTTACGCGTGTCTTCCCCCCTAGTCTCCAGGGGTACGTAAATTCTTTGGGCTTACTCTTAGTTGAGAAAAGGACCTTTTCCGAAAGACTTCAAAACTCGGCCCGTGGGCATCCGAACAGGGAGACCTACGTGTGTATCCATGCGTGTGGTTCGTGGATTCAGTCGCACAGATCTGTCAGTAAGTGTTACCTCTCTGTTTTTCCCTCCCGCTTCCTGGCTCCAGACACATCCGAGTCTATTTGCCACCGATCGACTCCGGCACACCAAACACTTACTGCTCTAAGGCTCTGGCATTCCAGGCCCCCCTGGTATTTAATGAAATTTTCAGAATCCCTGTGCATTCAAGCATGTTGACGTTGAAGTCACTTCAATTATATGTGTGTTCAGTGAATCAGCAGCTGCAGGAGGAACTGCTGGTATGTCCCTCCCCTCCCCCCCACGCCCCCCCATTTCCTTTCGGCTCCCCTCCCCGCCTCCCTCCTTCCTTCCCCCGTGTTCCCATCGGTCTCGGTCTCGCTCCTGCCCCTTCTCCTCTTGTCTTTCTGCCTGCCTCTCTCTCTTCTTTGTCTCTCTCTCTCCATCCCCTCCTTCCTTCCAGCTCGCTCCTTCCCTCTCTCCCCTCCTTCGTTTCACCTATGGTGGGCTGCTGAGAAAGTGTCGTCCCCTCACGTGATGCCTGTACCTGGGAGCGCACGCGAGGACACAAAACCATTGGTCTCGCCAGGTGTGCCGTACTTCAACTATGTCATCTCAACTAATACTTGCAAAACTGCTCCATTGCCCCCATTTTCAGTTGAGGGAACGAAGTACGGTTGAGAAACTGAGCAAATAAAAATGGAGGATGGGGACGCCTGGGCGGCCTGGTCGGTTAAGCTCCAGCTCTTGATTTCGGCTCAGGTCATGATTTCACGGTTCGCGAGACTGAGCTCTGTGTCGGGCTCTGTGCTGCCAGCTTGGGGTCTGCTTGGGCTTCTCTCTCTGACCCCCCCCCCCCGCCCCTCCCCTGCTCGTGTACGCATATGCCAGCACGTGTGCACGCCCACTCTCTCGCTCTCAAAAGAAATAAACTTAAATAAAGCACCTTAAAAAATTTTTTTAGTTATTTATTTTTGAGAGAGAGAGAGACAGAGAGAGACAGAGCACGAGTGGGGGAGGGGCAGAGAGAGAGGGAGACACAGAATCCGAAGCAGGCTCCGGGCTCCGAGCTGTCAGCACAGAGCCCGATGCGGGGCTTGAACTCACAGACTGTGAGTTCATGACCTGAGCCGAAGTCAGATGCTTAACCGACTGAGCCACCCAGGCGCCCCTAAAGCACTTTTTAAAAAATTAAAATATAGGATGGTTCATGAAATGGGAATTTCAAATAAACTATGGGTTCTTTTTTGAGTATAGTGTCCCGTGCAACACTTGGGATATACTTATGCTTTAAAAGAATGCATTGTTTACTTGAAGTTCACATTTCCTGGCTATCCTATCTTTTATCTGGTATCTCGGGAACTAAGCGCCAGCAGCTTGCGTTCAGTACCCCCAGCCACGTGCTGCCCGGGCCACGACTCGGCAGCCCGGGTGGCTTCTTTCACAGATCGGAATTGTTCTCCTTGGTGTCACCCCTCAGCAGTAGAACTAGATTGTGGCGGTCAGCCAGCCCTCTCTTGTTTCACAAATCCCTGAGTGAATCAGCGGCTCGTCAGTTGGCAGACCCTGAGCCCCGCCCACCACTCCACGTTGCCCATTCTCTGCCCCCGGCCCCCTTCTGGCACTTTCTCCGCGGGCTGAACCAGCCATCGAGGAGCCTCCCTCACTCAGATCCTGTGCGACCACTTCCATTCTCCCGCAGTCCTTCGAATAGCAATGAAAACATTCCGTCTTTCCGGTTAAGATTGGAGGGCGACCTCGATGTCTTACACGATCCCCCTTGGCTGTCAAGGCGAAATCACTCACTGCCCGTTCTGCTTGTTAACACTGGTGCAGGGCATCGCTCAGATCAACTTGGCCGACTACGACGGGTCCGGCGAGATGCAGCTGCGCTGGTACGCGGTGCAGGTGTTCGGCAGCTGCGGGCCGCCCGGGCCGGGCGCCGCCGCCAGGGACCCCGCGCTGGCCGTCGCCGGGAAGACGGTACGTGTGCCCGCCCGTGGCGCCACCGCTTTCCTGCCGCCCGCACCCGCCGTCACGCGGGTCCACCCCTCACGAGCGTCTGTGCGCGCTTGGCGTCGGAACGTAGTGGAGCCGAGAGGCAGTGTCAGGGGACGGCACGGAAGTAGGTTTCCGTAGCTGTGGCCATGCGTGACGGCGGGTTTAACGCGGACGAGCTGGTGACTGTGCGCCACACGTTGGTGGCTTTAAAATCGAGCCCTCAGAGCCGCTCGGGCCGGCCAGGCTAGGTCCCGGCGACACGCGGCCAGCTGCGGCTCAGGTGCGCCCTGTCCCCCCTCCCCCCCAGGACGCGGTGACGGCGCTGCTGGCCAGGACCACTGCCCAGCTGCAGGCCGTGGAGCGTGAGCTGGCCGAGGAGCGCGTGAAGCTGGAGTACACGGAGGACGAGATCCTCGAGATGGAGCGGAAGGAGGAGCTGGCCGAGGCCGTGTCCGAGAGGTAGGGCCCTTCCGCGCACCGGGCGCACGGAGCCCGGCGCCAGGCCGCCGCCGCCCCGGCAGAGGGCCCCGGGGCAAGAGGCTCTTCTCACCCGCGCCGCCTCCCTGGAATGTGCCGGGCGCACACTCCGTGCCGCCCGACGGCCGGGATGCTCACGGGGACTTTCGCGCAGCGCCATAGGAGGCGGTCCCTTGACCCCTGTCCCCAGCTCCCCGCGCAGGCTTTTCACCCTCTCCTCGTGTTGTGGAGTGTCCCCGAAAGAGAGCGGCTGTGAATGGCTACCAAGTATTCTCTGCTCTGCCGGGACTGGTATAAGGTCCCTTTCCGTTGTATTTAAGCAGCTTTTTCGGCTTATGATCTCCCTCCCACGCGGTTCACCGTTTCAGGTGAACGAGTCCGCGGTGACTGGGAGAGTCACAGAGTTGTGCCACCTTCGCCACAGTGGATTTCCGGGCACTTTATTCATCACATCAGAACGAAACCCCTCTCTCGTTAGAGCCGTCGCGCTGTCCTCTTACCCTGGCCCCTGACCACCGCTCATCTCCCTGCTGTCCCCGTGGATTGGCCTGTTCTGGGCATTTCACCCCCGGGGAGTCATGCACTGTCCCTTCGCATCGGACCTCAAGCAGCCTCTTGGTGAACCCTTGACTCGGTAGAGACCACTCTACGGTTAGAGGCATAATTCAGACGGACAGGCTCTTCGAGTGAGTGGATTTCTGTCTGGTCCTTTCTGGAGGCGCTTTTGTATTGCTTTATTTGCGTGTTTCTCCGTGAAGAGCATCCTCTATTTCCAAAGCTTCCTGCTTCTTCCCGACAGCTTTCCCTGAATTGATTTTAGGAATTGATTTTAGGGAGAGAAAGTGCACGGCGGTGGGGGGAGCAGTGTATTCAGGGACCCTCGGGAAGCTGGGAGGGCCTGGGAGAGAGGGTTCAGGATTCTGGCATCTTTGGCAGCTGCCATTGGGTGATAAAGACAGACAGACCTCCTCACTGAAAGTCCTTGTCACGTCGTCTTCCCTCTAAACCAGAAAAGCCCATTTACTTCTTGAGGAAGCACCTCTCCGACCACCGGAAGGCGCGTGGGTCTTGCTGCCGTGCTCTGAGTGCGGCGGGGGACTCAGCCCCTTCATGCACGTTTCGTCTTTCCAGTTTTGTCAGAAACGATATATTTTATTTTTCTGACGCCACACCTCTGCCAAGGGGTTTTACCAAATTGAACGGAGGTTACGCAGAACGTTCTGTGCGTGAGCTGGGGAGGCAAGGGAAGGATCCACAAAATGAAAACCAAAAACGAGATCCTGGGGAGCTGTGAGCATCCGTTCCGCTCCATGCGACTCAAGTTCAGTTGGGAATTCCTGAGAAAGAACAGAAGAGGGGGGCGGACAGGGAAGGCCATGTTGGGGAAGAAAAGGCGGAGGGAAGGAAGACGGCGTTGACGCACCTGTCCGGGCTTTCGCGATGTCTGCCTTCAGGAGCTGGCAGGCCGACTCGGTGGACAGCGGCTGCAGCAGCTGCGCCCAGACCAGCCCCCCGCACCCCGAGCCCTGTTGCGTCGGCGCCGACCCCATCCGTGGACACACGTTTGCCGGCCAGGCAGACCCTTACAGCCCCGAGAAGTTTCAGCCTCCGCCTCGTAAGGTCAGTGGAAGCGGGCGAGGGATCTGTGCGGCCCCCCGAGGTCCTGCCGCACCGTCCCGGGCACCGCCCTGGACGACGAGCGGGAGGGCCCACATCCTCCATGGGAAACCGAGGGAGTCGGTGCGGGGGTGGGCGAGAAGACACTGGGACCGACAGACTCATCGCGAGAGTAGGGCGGTGGGGCTTGCCCGCGACCGGGGCTGTGGGGAGGGTGTGGTGTAACGTGGGCCGTGCTGCTGGATGGGGGGGG